ATAGTGACAAATAAATGATGGATATATGTTGGTAAGTATAGGTTATATACATATGTAAGCTCCGTCAATATATTAGTGACACCGACCGACAGACAGTGATATCGATGTGTATGCATACACATATATAGTGATGTCCATATAGTGAGATCGATATTTATATATATACACCGATAGAGGTTGTTCGATGGTTGGAGACGGTTGTCCCAATGGTTACCCCGTCGTTGGTCCCACCACCACCAACCACCTCAAACCTCCTCAGCATTTGGCCAGTCTTCTATGTAGGGGCCTTCCTCCCCCCACTTCGCAGTGACCTCTCATCTGCCCTCCCATCCCCCCTTTTCTATCCCTTCCCTACCCTGCTGCCTCCCGTCTCTGCATCCCTCCCCCGCGTGCGGTCCCCTCAAGCTCATCTCTCATGCGCCTCGTCTACTCCCTCTCATCCCCCCTACCGCCCGCTGCAGCCGCAAGCCGGGAGGCAACCACCGACGTGGATGCCGCGATCAAGGCGGTGAGGAAAGCAGACAATCAGGTCGCCGTTGCCGCCCGGTCTTCTCTCCTCTCCTCCTCTTCCTCTTCTCTTTTTTCTCCTTGTCCTCCTCCTCCGCCTCCTCTTCCGCCTCCTCTCCTTCACGGAGGAGGGAAGCTTCTGGGCGTTGTCGGGGATCCTATCGGGTCATCATCATCATCATCATCATCATCAGCAGCAGCATCATCATCATCAACCTCCTCCTCGTCCTTCTACTTATTCTTCCCGTGACTCACCTCGGTGATGGCTCGAGGCGGAAATGCCGACGCCCAGATTCGCAACCTGTGCCCAACGAGCGTATTGGAGAGCGCCAGGTGGGGAGGAGGACGAGGAGAGTGAGGAAGGGGAGGAAGATGGGGACGGCCGGGGTAAAACCGGAGCGCGTCAACGATGCTGCAACGCACCCTCCCACCCCGAGACCCCAATGAAGGTCTGAGTCGGGGAGGCACTCGCTCGAAGGACGGGTGCTGCGTGGGCCTGACACCCTGGCGAGAGCCCCATCCTGGAGAGCAGCCGCCCGCCCGAGTTGCAGCTCTGAGAGGTTCCAGTTGCCTACGCCATGCCGCCAGCCCCGCAGGGAAGGGCCTCTCGGAGGGCTCTTGTGGGCATCGGGGGGGGGCTGTCGGCGCTTCTCGATGGCCCCCATGGGGGCTTCGTGAGGGCCTCGTAGAGGCCTTTTGGGGGCCTTTTGAGGGCGCCTCAGGGGCACATGGGAGCCGATTGGGGCCAGCTTGGGGGAAAAGAAGCCGCCCTCCCGAACTTGCAGCTCTTAGAAATTCAAGGATATAGGATCAGAAAGTCCAAGAGAGCATCAAGATGGAGCCCTGTTTTGAGAAAGAGCTGCCATCTGGCCGTGTAGCTGCTGCAAGTATTCAACTTCCGAGCAAGATCTAGAAAACGATGTCCGAAAGGGAGCCATCCTCCATCCTTGCAAATGCTGCAAGATTTTCTCATAGTTGCAGATAAATCCATGTGCGCGGTGCTCAGTCGAACGCCACATTTGAAAATCGGCCGCCCTCAAGCCGAGCATGTGTTGAAGAAGCCCGAAGCCCAACTCCGAGATCACTAAGTCTGAAGAAGCCTCAGTTGACACGCCCGTGCGGCCTGCCGACGCGTATGGTGGCGCGGCGACGAAGAGGCACTAACAAGCAAGAGGAACGTGCGAGGAGGACGAGGAGGAGGAGGACGACGACGACGGCAGGAAGCCAGAGGCACTGCAGCATGCGACGTTTTTTCTGGCGACCTCTGCGCGAACGGCCCAGGCAGCCTAAGCACCGACGCGTCTCGCGCCCGAAGCGGCCGCCAAACGACGCGAGGCGATGCGAGGTTAGCCCACCCAGGCCCACGGCGAGAGGCTGCATGTGGGCAGGGCGTTGTTTTTGTTTGCGAACTCCCCGATGGCGCACAGCAGCTCACCGAGGTCGAAGGAACACAGCGGCGGCGCGGCGCCCACCGCGGTAGCGCCGCACGGCGGCGACGGCGAGACGTCTACCAGGCCCACAGCGGGAACCCGAAGTGGTCAAGTCTCCGCCCTGCCCAGCAGCTATCCCAGAGTACTAGCGAGCCTGCAGTGCTGCCAGCACAGCCCGCTGCTCGGCGGGTGGGAGAGGGACCGCCTCCCCGACACACAGTCTTTGACTTGTGTACGGGTCCTCTCCCCTCAACAACTTGCCTCGGCGGCATTTGGCCTGCGCATTGGCAGGCTCTCCTTCGCATGGCAGGCATAGCTTCTTGGCCCGCCCGCTCGAGAAGACCCCGCAATTGCCACAGAACACAAATCCTCCAGCACGCAAGAGAACATGCTGTCGGCTGGGTGGCCCCCGCGAGGGTCTAGCAGGCAGAACGAAGCGGGCCACTCTAGCATGTACGTTCTTGCAGGGAGTGCGAAAAAGAGCGCACGCATGCCCTGAAACGTACCCGAGAAACGACCGCACTGCTGACACCTCCAAGCTTGACAGTCCCAGACATGGTTGCGGGGACGGGTCCCAGAGGGGGGGGGGCCTTCCCGAGCACGCCGACGCAGGCGAACCCCACTCCGAGCCTGGGCCTGGCGGCCAGTGGTGTCCTTGAACGTGCCTACTTGCATAGTCACGTTGGCTACAAACTTACACATATTAATCGAGTCCTTGGATCGTTGCTGCCAGACCTGCCTCAGGCCCTCTGGGAGACCGTGAAGGGCCGCGCCCTTCTTGGCCTGCAGGTCCGCCTGCGCATTACACAGGACGTCGAGGCGGGCCTGGCCGACGAGGGAGTCGGGGTCGCGGCCCGAGTGGGCTTTCACCTTGACAATTTCGAGCACACCCGATTCTTGAAACTCGTCACGCACAAGCAACCAAATGCGACGCCACAGATCTGCGTGCGGCCTCCTGGCTTTAGTGCACCAAGCCTCCCCTCTCTGGAAGCCTCGATGTACTGTATTGTTGTCGACTGCTACCTGAAGAGGGACTCTCCCGTGCTGCAGGACCCTTGAAAGGCCCATGAGTTCAGCTTTCAGGACCGAGCCCATCAGGCGAGGTCCCCCCAGGGTGCCACGACCCGCCTTGACGACACGACCGTCCCCGTCGAGAAACGCGAAACCCCATCCGAACGACTTGCACCCTTGGGGGGCTATCCCCGATCCATCGGAGTACGCAAGCCCCGAAGTGAGGGGCTCGTCGCCGAATTCAGGGTCTAGCCCCTCGATGTAACCCTGGACAAGTGAAAAAGGGTCGTCAACGGAGTGGGCCGTGAGGCCTCGCGAAAATAGGAAGGAGGAGGGCGTAGAGTCCGCCGCTCTCTGGGCAATCTCGGGCACTTCCTCGGCCGCAATTCTTCGGGCTCCATACAGACCTGGGCACTTGCAAAAACGGTGGTGCTGAGTGCCCTCGGGCGCTTGACAGAGTTGGCACTCGCGTGAGTCGCTGTGCCCAGCCTTCCAGACCTTGTCCTGGGCCCAAAAAGATTTACACACAAAGGCCAAAATGGCCTGCTGGCGCCCAGGGGAGTTTCGCCGCTGCCGAAGGGCAGCACGGATGGGCTCCAGGAAGGGCCGAACAAACTTGGGGTCCCTGGCTGAAGCCCACGCGGTGAGTTCGACAGCTTCGAGCCTCGCCGTCACCAGCCCCTTCAAGGCAGTGGGGGCTGTGCGGCGGAGGTCGATGCGGTACCCCGATGTGGGCAGGGCGAAGGTCGACTGCACGTAAGAGTGATCCTCTGCCAGGATGACCTTGGATGCGGGCTCACTGGGCTTCCCCCATGGTTGAACGCGATGCGATAGCAGCGGCTTGCGCGCTTGGGTTCGGTCCCTCCCCCGCACCCCTGAAGCCGCGCACCAAAAGTTACGTTTGCCCAAGCACTCTTGCAAGTAGAGGAGTAGGAGGAGGAGGAGGAGGAGGAGGAGAAAGAGGAGAAAGAGGAGTGAAAAAAGAGAGCGAGAGAGAGAGAGAGAGTGAGGAGCAGGCGGAGGGTGATCTCGCAACTCGGGGGTCCGCGAAGGGGCTGCATCGTGGGAGCCATCGCCCAGGGCCTGCAGCATTCGAGAAAGGCCGCAGGCCCCGGTGGAGGGGAGAGGCACGAGGAGGCCAGGCGGGTTTCCAGGGAGGCCGCACAGGACCGATATCACGAGGGGCGGCTCGAACGAGTTGGTTGCAGCTTCGATCTCGTTGACGAGGTGATCAGTGCGAATGGGTTTCCGGGGAAGCCGTTCATGCCAGGGGCTTCTGGAGAGGCAGTTCGAGCAAGTCGGTGTGCAGGGAGGTATCGGGGCACCCCAGAGGCTGCGCCGCCCCTCCGCCGCACACTGTGCACGTGCTTGCATATCCTTGGTGGGTTCCGCGGGGTCTTTACTGACATCTGTGTTCGGTCATGCGTGTGAAATGTTACACGTGTTTTCGCTGCTACCTGGTCACCGTGGCATGGTACGTGCGTGACCTGGGACTGGCCGCTAACAGGCTCTAGACGTTCTTCTGTGGCCGCCGGTCCAACGCCCTGCTGTCTTACAGCCCCGCTTCGCACAAGCACGGCACCCCGACGCACTTCCTGGAGACCATCCTGGGAGGATGGGACCGTCTCTCACAATCATAGGCCCCAGACCTCTGAGACCTGTCCTGGTCAGAGTTACGAGAGCAGTTCGTCCTCGCCCACTACGCATACTGGACCATCGGACCTTACTTACGGCGTCCACGTGGGTGCCTGGCCTGCTGGCGCCTCCTCTTTCTCTTTCTCCTCCTCCTCCTCCTCCTCCTCCTCCGCCTCCTCCTCCTCCTCCTCCTCATCATCATCATCATCATCATCATCATCATCATCATCCTCTTCCTCTTCCTCTTCCACACTTGCGGAGCTTCAGCAGCACATCAGAGGCCACCTCGCAGTGCCAGACCAGATCCGAGAGCCCAGAGGCGAAGCAGCGCATAGTACCCATCACACTACTTTCTGCCATGGGAGACCAGGGCATGAGCTGGCGGATCGAGGGAAAGCGAGGAGCAGGAAGACCAGACCAAGGAGCAGCAGTCCGAGGTACCAAGGCGGCGAATTCCGGATAGGGCAAAGGCAGCAGCGGCAGCAACCCACCTGGAGGAGGAGGAGGAGGAGGAGGACGCGGATTGACATCGGAGCACAGAGACGAGATGAAAGCAGCCCAGAAGCTAGCCTTACAGAACAGCGCGGCGATCAGGGAATTGAGCAATAACGTAGGCGATTTTTGGCTGGTCAGCCTCACGAACGACGCCGTCCAGTCCAGCGTCGCGACGGGGCGAGAGTACGGGCGCATGGCGAAAGAGCAAGGCAAGGGCCACGAACTAGGACCACCGCACGGACACGTAGCAGCAAGTTTCGTGGAAGGCCTGATCGAGAAGATGACCACCGAAGCAGCCTCCCTTCCAGAACACATGAAACCAGTCCTGGCCACGCTGAAGGAATTTACGACGACGGTGAGCGGCGCGTGGGGGATGAAAGTCATGGCAGAAATCTTCAAGCAGTTCAAGGTGCAGCCGTCCCATCAGAGCGAGGAGGCGATGGACGACAACGATCGGATG